CACCTTTCCAGATCCAGATGACCAGGAGTGGTCTGATTACTCAAATGCGCTTTATTGTGCGCTATCTGGTCAGTGCAATGTATACTCATTCATAGTCACTGGAGTCACGGAATTCACTTTATTATTTATTTTTGGACTTATAACAGATTATCTACTGGTTATTGACCATTTATGTCACTTTTGCACTTTAAACATCATTCTTGAGACGTTTTCCTCACATTTTACAGCTGAGCGCTCTACAGCGCATGTACGGAATTTCTATTACGTATTTTGCATATCCTATATTTATGTAGAATTGTAGTGCTGCATTTATTGATGAGTTTTGTACAGAAGGTTCAGAGGTTTTGCCTTGATGCCAGCTGCTTATAACTGTAACTACCTAGCGCTCGTATACCCATTTATTTATCGCACGTGTCATGGTTATGCACAGAGCCTTAGGGGCGGACCCCCCCCCCCCACCATGTATTGCATGGTTCCCAGCCCATTTAAGAGAGGATACAGGCTGCACACACACACTGGCTCTGAGGAAGAGGTACAACCTCGAAATGCATCAGCACCAGCTATCTAGAGATCTCCAATCCCCCACCAGACCACTTCCAGGGGTTTTGGACCACATTGCATTCTTTGTGACATGCTTTCCGTTTTATTTATTTCTCTTGTGAGTATTTTACTATTTATAATAAATCTCATTTGAAAGGTAATGCACTAGGCCCGTGCGCCCTCTTTTTGTTTCTTACATACTATGCACAGAGCAGCCCTGATCCTCCTCTCCCGGGTCCCCGGCCAGCATCCGTGGCCCCTCCCCCTTGCCAAGTGCCCCCAGCGCAAGCTGCTTCTGCTGAGGGCACTCATTCCTTCTTGCTCCTGAGCCAGCTCTGTGTGTCTGTGCCGCTCTGTGGGAAGTCCTGTCCCTGCTCTCTCCTCACTTGCCGTGATTGATATCAGCGAGAGCCAATGGCTCCTGCAGCTGTGTCTCAGCCAATGAGGAGAGAGAGACCCAGGAGAGCCGAGGCTCCTGTGCACAGCGCTGGACGAAGATTAGGCTCAGGTAAGTATTGGGGGGCTGGGAGGGGAGCTGCTCACTGAATGTTTTTTTTTTTTTTTATCTTCATGCATAGAATGGGGGGGGGGTGCTAATATAAAGGGACTCTGATCTAATGGGGGTCTCTAAGGGGGGGGGGGTGCTAATATAAAGGGCCAATGGACAGGGGAGAGGCTGATAGGCAGACCAATCATCGGTCCCCCCATGCAAGGTCAATGGCCAATGGAGGAGAGAAGGTGAGGAGCTCAGTAGGTGTCTGCTCGAGGAGTTGCTCATGCTTGGTGCTAGCGGTGGACAGGCTGGTGGGAGCCTGGGCGCCAGGGCACGATTTTTGGTTCACCCTGGCTTGTCGAGCCCTGGCCATAGCACAGACTGTTGCTGCTTCCATAGATGTGGCTTAGCCACCTCCTGAACGCAGCAAACTATTCACATATGAACTCCCATGTGAGTGTAACCTCAAGCAGACTTCTGCTGTGGGTGACCGAGATGCTTCCTTCTTCTTCTAAATTTGTGAGTCTTCTACTGAGGTAGCCTGCAATGAAAGCTGAAAACGTGGAGATGAAGTGACAACATTTACTGGCCCATTTGTAAGACTTAAAACATCGAGTTTTGAAACACTTTGGTTTTCTTTTTCACGCCACGACATCACGCTGCCGGATCATGGAGGTCCGGCGACCATCTTTGATACCAGCTGGTCAGTGCATCCAGCAGCTTTTTAGCTGCATGTCATTTTATTGAAGATTTACCATTACCATTTACCTGTGTTGTTTGGAGCATTTAATAAATCATTCATTAAGAATACTACACTATGGGCACCATACTTTTTTGCTCTGCACCGAGCATCTAATTCCCCGGGACCCCCAGGTGACCATCCCAGGGCCCAGAGGAGAGAGATCTACACCAGACCCCACCGCAGCTTACCTTTAAGAGGACCTCTGATTGATATCCTATCACCTAGATCCATAAAGAGAGGAGGTTTACACATACCAGGCTGCATCTTATTCCACCATAAGAGGGGATCTCTGGCTGTCTGATTAATTTCGCATATTTAATGCGCCTCGGGTGAGTGTGCATTTCTACCATTACTTCGCACATCACTGGATTATCTGCTTCCACTGGGCGAATAAGAGTCATCTATCTTGTAGCTGCACTTATACCGAACTTTCAACCTATCATTCTAATATCATTTATATGTTATGATTACATATATGAGCACCTTATATAGTTCCAATGGATACGAATAGTTATCTATTTGGTATATCTATCTGCACTCCTTCATTGGACACAATTTGATTATCCTAAGTACTAACATTTCTGTGCAGATTATGTGTTTATATTGCTTACTTTATACATTTTGGCAGTTATATTGTTTTTAGTGCTGCACTCTAACCCTGTGCAGGTTATGCGGTTTTATTGGTAACTTTATGCGTTTTTGCATTTATCGTTTTTAGCGCTGCACTATATTTTTTACAATTTGATTTTAGAAGGTTTGTGATTTTGTTATAGTGTATCAGCTGCTATTTATAAGCGCTTGCTGAGTCCCTTTTTTTTTTTTTTAACATTTATACATTAGAAACATTCAATACATGTGGACATTATAGGGTTGATTTACTAAAACTGGAGAGCGCAAATTCTGAAGCAGCTCGGCTTAAAAACCAATCAGCTTCCAGGTTTTATTATCACAGCTTAACCGAACGAGCTGATTGGCTGCCATGCACAGTTGCACCAGACTTTGCACTCTCCAGTTTTAGTAACTCAACCCCAGTGTTTTGAAAGTTTGCATTTTCTGTCTGTTGAATTAGCCAGTAAATGTTATCATTTCATCTCAGAATGTTCAGCTGCACGTAGAGAATTCCTCCTTGTTAATCAGTCGGTTTTATAGAAGAGAAGCAAAAACAGGGTGCACTCTCTTCGTGCATTACCGTGATGAAGCACGAGTTTATTAAAAAGCATAAAAGTGCATACTCACAAACCAAAGGAAATAAAACAGAGACAAAGAGTCAGTGGTGACGGTCCCAAGTGGTGGGAGACCCTTAATGAGGTAGATTGATGCGTTTCGGGAGATGTACTCCCTTCTTCAGATCTAGTAGCTCTGAGGAAAACGCGTTTCGGGAGATGTACACCCTTCTTCAGAGCTAGTAGCTCTGAAGAAGAAGCGTTTCGGGAGATGTACTCCCTTCTTCAGAGCTAGTAGCTCTGAAGAAGGCACGTTTCGGGTGACGTGCTCCCTTCTTCAGAGCTAGTAGCTAGTGGTTCTGAAGAAGATGCGTTTTGGGAGACGCGCTCCCTTCTTCATAACTAGGAGCTGTGAAGAAGACGCATTTCGGGAGACGCGCTCCCTTCTTCAGAGCTAGGAGCTGGAAGAAGACGCGCTTCGGGAGACGCGCTCCCTTCTTCAGCGCTACGAGCTGTGAAGAAGACGCGCTTCGGGAGACGCGCTCCCTTCTTCATAGCTAGGAGCTGTGAAGAAGACGCGCTTCGGGAGACACGCTCCCTTCTTCATAGCTAGGAGCTCTGAAGAAGACGCATTTCGGGAGACGTGCTCCCTTCTTCAGAGCTAGTAGCTGTGAAGACGCGTTTTGGGAGACGTGCTCCCTTCTTCAGAGCTAGGAGCTGTGAAGAAGACGCGTTTCGGGGGACGTACTCCCTTCTTCAGAGCTAGTATCTAGCAACTCTGAAGAAGACGCGTTTCGGGAGACGTACTCCCTTCTTCAGAGCTAGTATCTAGCAACTCTGAAGAAGACGCGTTTCGGGAGGCGTACTCCCTTCTTCAGAGCTAGTAGCTCTGAAGAAGCCGTGCTTCGGGAGACGTATTCCCTTCTTCAGAGCTAGTATCTAGCAGCTCTGAAGACGCGTTTCGGGAGACGCGCTCCCTTCTTCATAGCTAGGAGCTGTGAAGAAGACTCATTTCGGGAGACGCGCTCCCTTCTTCAGAGCTAGGAGCTGTGAAGAAGACGCGCTTCGGGAGACGCGCTCCCTTCTTCAGAGCTAGGAGCTGTGAAGAAGACGCGCTTTTCGGGAGACGCGCTCCCTTCTTCATAGCTAGGAGCTGTGAAGAGACGCGTTTCGGGAGACGCGCTCCCTTCTTCAGAGCTGAAGAAGACCCGCTTCGGGAGAGCTAGGAGCTGTGAAGAAGACGCGCTTTCTGGAGACGCGCTCCCTTCTTCATAGCTAGGAGCTGTGAAGAGACGCGTTTCGGGAGACGTGCTCCCTTCTTCAGAGCTAGGAGCTGTGAAGAAAACGCGCTTCAGAAGACTGCCTCCCTTCTTCAGAACTAGGAGCTGTGAAGAAGACACGCTTCGGGAGACTGGCTCCCTTCTTCAGAGCTAGGAGCTGTGAAGGAGACGCGTTTCGGGAGACGCGCTCCCTTCTTCAGAGCTAGGAGCTGTGAAGAAGACGCGCTTCGGGAGACGTATTCCCTTCTTCAGAGCTGGTAGCTGCTAGCTCTGAAGAAGGGAGTATGTCTCCCGAAAACGCGTCAGCCTACCTCAATAAGGGTCTCCCGCCATTTGGGACCGTCACCATTGACTCTTTGTTGTATTTCCTTTGGTCTGTGAGGATGCACTTTTATGCTTTTTTAATACTCATGTTTCACCACGGTAATGCATGAAGAGAGTGCGCCCTGTTTTTGCTTTTCTTCACCAGTACCAAGGCTTCCCGATCTTCTAAGGGCTGCTCCTCAGTGAATGACAGTTTAAGTATCCCTAGTCAGCGTGAAGATTTGAGCGCTGGTTTCATTTTTGGCTAGGTTTTACAGAAGACACTGAAGTGGCTGCATAAATGCTTCTATAGTTTATGGCTGCACATTCACCGTGGCTAATTACCTTTTCTCTGCAATGTAGCCTATGGCAAAGTGTTCTTGGTGCGGAAGATCAGCGGCCATGACTCCGGAAAGCTGTATGCCATGAAAGTGCTGAAGAAGGCGACTATAATTCAGAAGGCCAAGACTGCAGAACACACACGGACGGAGCGCCAAGTGCTGGAACACATCAGACAGTCGCCTTTCCTAGTAACTCTTCATTATGCCTTCCAGACAGACACAAAACTTCATCTCATTTTAGGTAAGGCTTTTTATATACATGATGCATAACTGCTGATGACCTGCCCAGGAACAGGCAATGCAAGATTAACCACTTCCCGTCCGGCCCATGTACATAAACGGCCGGGCGGGAGCAGTGCAGGAGAGGGTGGCCGTTTCTAAACGTCCTCCTGCTTCCCTGCCTGTGCGCGGCACCGCGATCCGGTGCCCGCTGTGTCCGGAGAACACTAATCGCTGTACGGGACCTCTGTGTGAGGTCCCGATCATGTCATCACTGATTGGCCAATCAGTGATCACATGAATAGTAGTAAGCAAGATGTCACTTCTGACATCATTGCTTACTACTAGTTAAGTCTGTGAATGATCACAGAGGTCACATGGTGCAAGGCTATTCACAACAGCCTTGTACCATGTGACAAGCTGTGACCAATCATAGCTCACGCAGTATTCTCAATGGCTGTAAGAATGCAGCCAGAGAGAAGGAGAAATGATTGCTTTTACAGTGTTTATGGGTGTAAAAGCAATCCGTGTAAAAAAAAAAAAAAAAAATCTTCATCACCCCCCACAAGTAGTACAGTGTCACCATGGTCGTGTATTCCCACCTTTAGTCTGGTTGGATGGTATTCCTTCCTCATGAGTTAACGTGTCTGAGATAAGAGGGGGCAGCATCTTCATAGACATAAATGCAAAAGCTCAACCACAGCAGGCGTTTGTGCTTATGTGGCCCTTAGGAGACTGTGGTGCTGTAGGGTGGTCCAATTGTATCTGCAGATCCAGCTGTCCTGTGCCTGTGGGCACTTTTGGTTCGGCTTGCACTTCATGCAAAGAATGCCTCTTGTAAAGGGTTTGATTGGTTAGCGATTTATTTCACCCATTTTGCTGCTGACCAGAAGATATGAAATGTTTATGGAGATATCCTATGTAGAGCTATTAGCTCAATACAAACATCACACAAGTGAGCATTTACAGAAAATAAAAACCAAAGCTAGTAAATTGGATTTTAATCCTTTGCCACTCACTTAACACATACTGTATATCAGGGGCGGACTGACAACTCATGGGGCCCCCGGGCAATAGGGCATCATGGGGCCCCTGTGTCCTCGCCCATACTCAAACCACACCCAAAAAAGCCTATGAAAGGTACCAGGGACATCTCATGGGGCCCCCTACTGACCCTGGGCCCTCGGGCAGTGCCCAAGTTCCCCAATAGTCAGTCTGCCCCTGCTGTATATTACATTTTTGGGTCTTGTTTTATGTCCGCTTTAAAAATAATGCTTTATCAGGGTCTGAAGATACGTTGGGGGAAAGAACAGCAGTGTTTTATTTTAATATAAGCGATCACCTTTTCAGTACAAATTAACCTCTTGCCGTCCACCTGCTGTTGATAAACGGTAGGGCGGTGGCACTCCAGGGGCGGGTTGCCGTTCATAAACGGCACCCGCCTTTTCTAGCTGTGCGCGCTCCCCGGGAGCGCGCAGCACCGCGATCCGGTGCCCGCTGTGTCCTCAGGACACAGTGAAACACCGATCGTCGGACGGGACCTCTGTACGAGGTCCCGATCATGTGATCACTGATTGGCGAATCAGTGATCACATGCAAAGTAGTAAGCAAGATGTCACTTCTGACATCATTGCTTACTACGTGTGAAATCTGTGAATGATCACAGAGATCACATGGTACAGGGCTATTCACAACAGCCTTGTACCATGTGACAAGCTGTGACCAATCACAGCTCACTCAGTACTTCTCAATGACTGCAAGAATGCAGACAGAGAGAAATGATTGCTTTTACATCCTATATGGGTGTAAAAGCAATCAGTGTAAAAAAAAAAAAAAAAAAAAAAAACTTCATCACTCCCCATAAGTAGTACAGTGTCACCATGGTGACACTGTACTGCTAGGGTGACAGTATGTAATAAAAATGTAAAAAAAAATGTTTAAAAATTATAATTTTTGGTTATAAACTAATTTGGATTTATTTTTTCTACTAAAAAAAATAACGGAATAAATTTTGGCCAAGATTTATGATGAAATATTATTTATTTGCAAAATTTTATTAAAAAAAACACTTTTTTTCCAAATTTGTGGACTTTTTCATTTACATAGTAAAAAAAATAAAAATCCCAGCGGTGAATAAATACCACCAAAATAAAGCATTATCTGTCTCAAAAAAATGGTAAAAAATTCATATGGGTACAGTGTTGCATGACCGCGCAATTGTCATTCAAAGTGTGATAGCGCTGAAAGCTGAAAATTGGCCTGGGGAGGAAGGGGGGGAAAGTGTCCGGACAGGAAGTGGTTAAAACGGTGAACTAACAACCAACACCCTCCCCATCCCCCTGGTCACCTTTCTACTTACCTCCCGTGGGTATTGCATTGTCAGTGCCCTTGCAGCCGGCGTAACTGCCTGGGGGTTTAATATCCTCGCTCTTTGCGCTCTCCATTCTTCAGGGCTTCTAAGACGGCTCAGAGCATTTCTGACTGCTGAGCACTGACATGAGGACCGCTATACCGGCTGCATGGGCACTAACAGCGCGAGGCATCAGCAGCAAGGCCCCTACCAATCGGTCCACCGTATCCACTACACATCTGGACCAATCCTAGAGGCTGGTCAGCAGCTCTGAGGAAAGGGACTCGTCCCCGAAACGCGTCAGAGATTTGACGGCATTTGGAACACCTTGCTTGCTGTTATGGCCATCTTCATAATGCAAATGCTTTTTAGATACATGCTTCGACTGTGAGTATGTTTTTTTTTATTCTTTATACCTTTGAATAAACCTTGAATAATGCACTAGGTGCGTGCTCCACCTGTTTATTCTTTAACTAACAGCGCGTACCCCTGGGAGGTAAGTACAGCAGGAACTGGGGAGGCATAGGGAGGGGGTAGGGTGTTAATTCACCTTTTTTTCTGAAAAGGTAAGCTAACATTTTAAGAATGATAAATCAATTTAAATATGCAATCTATGAACACCCCAAGGAGTGAAAGCAAGGGGGATTTTTTAATACTTTTGTGATAAATTTAATCAAAGATCATCTTAGGATAGGGGTCTCCAAACTTTCTAAACAAAGGGCCAGTTTGCTGTCCTTCAGACAGTGCTGGGGGATTGTGCTGTGCCCAGTGGGAGGAATAGTGCCCCATCATTGGTGTCAGTGGGAGGATTAGTGTCCCATCATTGGAATCAGTGGATGGAATAGTGCCTCATCGTTGGTGTCAATGATAGGAATAGTGCCCCATCATTAGAATCAGTGGGAGGAATAGTGCCCCATCATTGGTGTCAGTGGGAGGAATAGTGCCCCATCATTGGTGTCAGTGGGAGGAATAGTGCCCCATCATTAGAATCAGTGGGAGGAATAGTGCCCCATCATTGGTGTCAGTGGGAGGAATAGTGCCCCATCATTGTTATCAGTGGGAGGAATAGTGCCCCATCATTGGTGTCAGTGGGAGGAATAGTGCCCCATCATTGTTATCAGTGGGAGGAATAGTGTCCCATCTTTGGTATCAGTGGGAGGAATAGTGCCCCATCATTGGAATCAGTGGGAGGAATAGTGCCCCATCATTGGAATCAGTGGGAGGAATAGTGCCCCATCATTGGTGTCAGTGGGAGGAACAGTGCCCCATCATTGGTATCAGTGGGAGGAATAGTGCCCCATCATTGGTGTCATTGGGAGGAATAGTGTCCCATCATTGGTGTCAGTGGGAGGAATAGTGCCCCATCATTGGTGTCAGTGGGAGGAATAGTGCCCCATCGTTGGTGTCAATGATAGGAATAGTGCCCCATCATTAGAATCAGTGGGAGGAATAGTGCCCCATCCTTGGTGTCAGTGGGAGGAATAGTGCCCCATCATTGGAATCAGTGGGAGGAATAGTGCCCCATCATTGGTATCAGTGGGAGGAATAGTGCCCCATCATTGTTGTCAGTGGGAGGAATAGTGCCCCATCATCATTGGTATCAGTTTGAGAAATAGTGCCCCATCATTGGTATCAGTGGGAGGAATAGTGCCCCATCATTGGTATCAGTGGGAGGAATAGTGCCCCATCATTGGAATCAGTGGGAGGAATAGTGCCCCATCATTGGTGTCAGTGGGAGGAATAGTGCCCCATCATTGGAGTCAGTGGGAGGAATAGTGCCCCATCATTGGTGTCAGTGGGAGGAATAGTGCCCCATCATTGGTGTCAGTGGGAGGAATAGTGCCCCATCATTGGTATCAGTGGGAGAAATAGTGCCCCATCATTGGTGTCAGTTTGAGGAATAGTGCCCCATCATTGGTGTCAGTTTGAGGAATAGTGCCCCATCATTGGTGTCAGTGGGAGGAATAGTGCCCGATCATTGGAATCAGTGGGAGGAATAGTGCCCCATCATTGGTATCAGGGGAGGAATAGTGCCCCATCATTGGTATCAATGGGAGGAATAGTTCCCCATCATTGGTGTCAGTGGGAGGAATAGTGCCCCGTCATTGGTATCAGTGGGGAGGAATAGTGCCCCATCATTGGTGTCAGTGGGAGGAATAGTGCCCCATCATTGGTGTCAGTGGGAGGAATAGTGCCCCATCATTGGTGTCAGTGGGAGGAATAGTGTCTCATCATTGGTGTCAGTTTGAGGAATAGTGCCCCATCATTGTTTTCAATGGGAAGAGTAGTGCCGTATTGTGGGTGTTGGTGGGAGGAATAGTGCCCCATCATTGGTGTCTTTGAGAAGAATAGTGCCCCATCATTGGTGTCAGTGGGAAGAATAGTTCCCCATTATTGGTGTCGGTGGGAGGAATAGTGTCCCACCGTTGGTGTCAATTACAGAAATTATGCCCTATTTTTTGTGTCAGTGGAGGGGGGGAAACAGTGCCCAGTGGAAGTAAACAATGCTGTGTCTTTGTGTGGTGGGAAGGGATAGTATCCCATTGTTGGTGTCTGTGGAAGGAATTGTGCTCCATCGTTGGTATTAGTGGGAGGAATTGTTCCCCATTGTTGGTGTGAGAGGGAGGAATAATGCCCCATTGTTGGTGTCCGTGGGCTGAATTGTGCCTCATTGTTGGTGTCTGTGGGCGGGATAGTGCCCCATTGTTGGTGTCAGTGGAAGGAATAGTGCCCCATTGTTGGTGGGAGGAATAATGTCCCATCGTTGGTGTCAGTGAGAGGAACAGTATCCCATCAGTGGTGTCACTGGCAGGGTTTATGCCCCATTTTTGGTGTCAGTAAACAGGAATAATGCCCCAAGGATCCAGACAAAGGCAAGCAAAGGGCTGCATCCAGGCTCCTGGGCCACAGTTTGGAGACCACTGATCATAGGTGTCTATATTCTGATTATTTTGCTAACGAAACATACCTTTTTAATTCCTTTTTGTACATAATTGTTCTGTAGCATGTAAGTCGGATTTAACGGCTAACACTCTCTCTGAGCATTTCGGGTTGCCTCCAGCAGTTTGTAACAATTCCACTCTTGCAGCTGAACGCCGGCCAACAAATGACTTCATTTACTGACTCTCCTGCTGACCCAAGCACCAAGCCATTACTGAAATGAATGGGCATTTGAACGGGGAGGGCTCTTTATGTCTAAATGACATTCATCTTCTAAATAGCTGCTTATTGGACACGATTCAGAGCACTGATTTTTTTTTTTTACTTGTCGTAAAATCATTCAGGGAAATGTGACAGTTTCTGCGCAAGGGAACTAACAGAGATTAGTGAATGGATGTAAAGGAAGCATGTTATGGTAGCATTTTGATAGATGGGGGCGACTTACTGTATCGGTTTTTCATAATCATTTTTGACATTTATGCAATTCTTGTTTTAAGAAAAAAAACGTGAGCGGAAGCTTCCCGGCGGGGCATGCTTGGAATTTTATTATATACAGTAATGCAGGCCATACTCAGGTCGAATTCCGAACAATTTCTTTGGAAAATCGAAACTTTTGTGCGTTTTGTAAACCGACAGCGCCACCATTGATTTCGACATTTGACCAACCAAGCCTTCGATTTCACCTCGTGTTGCTACAGAGAAGTATTTTCACTGCCAAGAATTTTCTTTTCTTTCCAGCTCACGCGCATTTCTTTTTTGATTATTATTATTATACAGTATTTATAAAGCGCCAATAGTTCGCTCAGCGCTGTACATTACAAAGGGGGACAGAACATGTGACAGAACAATACCAATACAATGCAAAACATGAGGGGATCGAGGGCCCTGCTCTTTGGAGCTTACAATCTAGGAATTATACAGTATTTATATATTATTATTATTATACAGGATTTATATTATTATACAGGATTTATATTATTATTATTATACAGGATTTATATTATTATTATTATTATTATTATTCAGGATTTATATTATTATTATTATACAGGATTTATATTATTATTATACAGGATTTATATTATTATTATTATTATTATTATACAGGATTTATATTATTATTATTATACAGGATTTATATTATTATTATACAGGATTTATATTATTATTATTATTATTATTATTCAGGATTTATATTATTATTATTATACAGGATTTATATTATTATTATACAGGATTTATATTATTATTATTATTATTATACAGGATTTATATTTTATTATACAGGATTTTATATTATTATTATTATTATTATACAGGATTTATATTATTATTATACAGGATTTATTATTATTATTATTATATTATTATACAGGATTTATATTATTATTATTATTATTCAGGATTTATATTATTATTATTATACAGGATTTATATTATTATTATTATTATTATACAGGATTTATGGCGCCAACAGTTTGCTCAGCACTTTACAATATAAAGGGAGACAATACAGCAACAATACAGTTCAATACAAGAGGGTTAGGAGGGACCTGATCCTGGGAGCTTACAATTCTCCCATCATTGATTAGAAATTCATTCGTTTTGCAATCAATTTCCAACATGTCCAATCACACAGATTTGATGGTCGCACAAAAATCGTCCAGTTCTGTAGCCCACTAATGGTGTGAATTTAGAACGAAAACTCTTAAAAAGATTTTCGAAAGAAAAAAAAAGATTATTTTGGAATTCAACCCGTGGATGGCCGGCTTTAGACAGTTGTAGGCAGCAGAGGCTGTGATGTATCTTGCTGTATTCTTTCCTTCAGCACTGAAGTTTCTGCGTATTCCTATGAACTTCGACAGCAGTTCACAATCCTCGCCCCCCCTTTAGCTGGGGAGGCGGTGGCCAGGGGTGTACATGCCGGGCAGGATTTACCTACTACTGCCTGCCAAACGCAACCCATTCAAGTGAAAGGAGGCAGCCCTGCAACGGTCCAGAAACCACGCACAACGCACCCAGTTAAAACAGGCAGAGAAGAAGCGATATAATGCCTCCTCACAGTCTGTCAAATGCTCTCTAAACAGCGATCCGACCTCAGATAGCAAGTGTAAAGATGAGTCAAAAAACAAAAATAGCGCATACAATTGTGCCATTATTTGTTTCGATTTTCTGAAAAAAAAAAACACAGCAAGTTGGATCAGGCATTGATTGTGGCATGAAAATCGTTTGTTGCAGCCAATGATACGGAGAGGCCAAAAACGAACGTTTCGACGTGAATCGTCTGTCGCAGCCGATGATGCAAAAAACGAACGTTTCAACGTGAATCGTCTGTCGCAGCCGATGATGCAAAAAACGAACGTTTCGACGTGAATCGTCTGTCGCAGCTGATCTTGAAATGATGCGAAAAACGAACGTTTCAACATGAATCTTTTTCATTTTTCGACTTGTCTATGGCCTGTTTAAGCAAGGCCTAACCGTTATCATTGAAAACATGTCTTGAATGTAAACTGGTTCAGTAAAATGGTAAAGTGGTTGCAAATCTCAGACATGAAATATGAACAAAGCATATCCCTCTATAGCAGCAGTCCCCGATCTCCCCATCATCAGGGACCGGCTGTGACGAACTGTCCCTTTGTGATAACATTTTGCCCTTTCTGTTCTGGTTTATCCCCATTTTAAGTGGTCTTCCCGTTCTCCCCTTGTTAAGTGGTCTTCCCGTTCTCCCCTTGTTAAGTGGTCTTCCCGTTCTCCCCCTGTTAAGTGGTCTTCCCGTTCTCCCCTTGTTAAGTGGTCTTCCCGTTCTCCCCTTGTTAAGTGGTCTTCCCTTCCCGTTCTCCCCTTGTTAGGTGGTCTTCCCGTTCTCCCCTTGTTAAGTGGTCTTCCCGTTCTCCCCTTGTTAAGTGGTCTTCCCGTTCTCCCCTTGTTAGGTGGTCTTCCCGTTCTCCCCTTGTTAAGTGGTCTTCCCGTTCCCCTTGTTAAGTGGTCTTCCCGTTCTCCCCTTGTTACGTGGTCTTCCCGTTCTCCGCTTGTTAAGTGGTCTTCCCGTTCTCCCCTTGTTAAGTGGTCTTCCCGTTCTCCGCTTGTTAAGTGGTCTTCCCATTCTCCCCTTGGTAAAGCTGTATATGTTTAGCAGCTGTTATGTAGACAGACACACTATACTGTTTGTTTAGGGAAATGTGACCTTGTAGTCTTTCACTTCTATAGAGTTCATACTGTATTGTTGGGTTGTAGGGTTTTGTTGTGGGTGGGGAAAACTCAGTGCCAGGCTGTCTGGTGGGGGTGGGGGTGAAGCTGTATATACTGAACTGTGTTCAATAAAGATTGATTCATTTCACCCTACACGAAGTTCAGACTCGTGGTTTGGGATAGCAGGGAAGGATTGGTTTTGAGCTCTAATGCCTGCCTTGGCAGAGCACTGGAAGACTTGCAGAACAAGGGGACCATTGGCTGAGACGCGTTGCTCCGCACGAGGAAGCCCAGGCGAAACGGTTCTGCCACACCGGCCATGCGAAACTGAACCCCTCCACGGACCGGTGTGGAAAGGGGGCTTTGGGTGCGGGTTGTGGTTGCAGCCCGTGACCGGGGGAGGCGGGGTGTTGGGGGTGAAGCTTTTCATCTCAGGGAGAGGGGGATATTGGGGGTGCAGCCTATCACCTCATGGGGGGTGGTTCAGCCTGGGTCTCACCATTGCTCTTTGAGATCCTGTCGCCTGCCCGGCTCTCCTCCCCTCCCTCCCTCTTCCTATTCTCCTTCATGATCACTTTGTGGTGCTGGGAGAAGGGTAGCTGGCCCCGTCTGGTGATTGGAGAGTGGCACTGCTGGCTTGCTCTGCCCACCGCGTGGCCTGCACTGGTCCACAGCCCGGGGTTTGGGGACCCCTGCTTGTATAGTGTGTACTTGTACTTGTCTCCATTAAGAGCACTAAGTGCCATTTCTGTCTGCTGCTTTTTTCCTCTGCTATCTGCATGAGAGAAAAGCTGATGGGAGGAGCTCCAGCACACAGCCTGTGTTTGATAGCCTAGGTTCTCTTCTTATGAGCTGTGTGGAGGAAGGGGGGGGGGTGTGATTTCCCTTCCTTCCCCTCCAATCAGCTCTCAGAGCTTTCCTCACTGAGCTCTGCAGTGTGTCATTTCAGCCCTCCGTCCCCTGCTTTCTGAAAGCTCAAACAAGTTTTATAAATTCTACACTGTGAACGAATGAAGAGACAAGAAGACTGAAGATAAACAGGTACAACGTATGTAGGAGGATTTGCTTCATCTCTGTATCACCTGAAGCCAATCATTTTTTTTTTTAGTACCTGCCTGGAGTTCTTCTTTTAAGTGTCCCTTTGCTAGATAATTTTTAACCCCAAACTATAAATGTCCTGTCCCTATAGATCAATAAAGTCTAATAAAGGGGCTGAGATGTCACCCGCGAGTAAATGCTGTTCTTGGTTCCTGTCTACATGTCTGAAGGCGTAGGTGCTGGGTCACGTGATCTCTGCAGAGCTCTGGTTCACTCCTTCAGTAGGTGTCATGTGAACGAGAGTCTATGCAGTCATGCATGTGGTCAGCACTGAAGGGAACCAGGAGCAGCATTTTCTCAGGGAAAGGAAACAAACGTAGGCTTTTTTGTTACTTTTTATTTATCAAAGGTTTAATATAGCTTTCTATTTGAGTGAAGTTCCGCTTTAGCTCACTTTTTTTTTTATATGCATTTTGCAGATTATATTAATGGTGGAGAACTATTTACTCATTTATCTCAGCGGGAGAAATTCACAGAGCGTGAGGTACGGATATATATCGGGGAAATTGTACTGGCTCTTGAACACTTGCATAAGGTAGGTTTTTTTTTTTTGGTTTTTTTTTTTTTTTTTCATTTAAAAATTTCTGTTTACAGGAAAATGCTGGAATGCTTGTATGTATGGAAAGGGGGATGAAGTTATATAGCCACAGCAGAGAAGGTGTGGGTCTTGTAGGAGGTAGCGGCCTGCTGAATTTGCTGAGAAAGGACATGCTGCATGTGATAGCCATAGTGCAATGATGCGAGGAGGGGAAAGAAGGAGAGTTGGAAAATGAGGATGGCTAACTGGGTAAAAAAAAAAAGGAGAGGAGCCCTCCACAAGCACAGAGTATTTCATGAAGGGAGAGGAGAGTTAGATAGAGGAAGGAGAAGTGTCCTCCCGCAGTGCAGAGTATTTCAGGAGAGGAGAGTTATAGAGGAAGGAGCGGAGTCCTCCAGCAGTGCAGAGTATTTCAGGAGAGGAGAGTTATAGAGGAAGGAGCGGAGTCCTCCAGCAGTGCAGAGTATTTCAGGAGAGGAGAGAGTTATAGAGGAAGGAGCGGAGTCCTCCAGCAGTGCAGAGTATTTCAGGAGAGGAGAGTTATAGAGGAAGGAGCGGAGTCCTCCAGCAGTGCAGAGTATTTCAGGAGAGGAGAGTTATAGAGGAAGGAGCGGAGTCCTCCCGCAGTGCAGAGTATTTCAGGAGAGGAGTTATAGAGGAAGGAGCGGAGTCCTCCAGCAGTGCAGAGTATTTCAGGAGAGGAGTTATAGAGGAAGGGAGCGGAGTCCTCCAGCAGCGCAGAGTATTTCAGGAGAGGAGAGTTATAGAGGAAGGAGCGGAGTCCTCCAGCAGCGCAGAGTATTTCAGGAGAGAGAGTTATAGAGGAAGGAGCGGAGTCCTCCAGCAGTGCAGAGTATTTCAGGAGAGGAGAGTTATAGAGAAGGAGCGGAGTCCTCCAGCAGAGCAGAGTATTTCAGGAGAGGAGAGTTATAGAGGAAGGAGCGGAGTCCTCCAGCAGTGCAGAGTATTTCAGGAGAGGAGAGTTATAGAGGAAGGAGCGGAGTCCTCCAGCAGTGCAGAGTATTTCAGGAGAGGAGTTATATAGAGGAAGGAGCGGAGTCCTCCAGCAGAGCAGAGTATTTCAGGAGAGGAGTTATAGAGGAAGGAGCGGAGTCCTCCAGCAGTGCAGAGTATTTCAGGAGAGGAGAGTTATAGAGGAAGGAGCGGAGTCCTCCAGCAGCGCAGAGTATTTCAGGAGAGGAGAGTTATAGAGGAAGGAGCGGAGTCCTCCAGCAGTGCAGAGTATTTCAGGAGAGGAGAGTTATAGAGGAAGGAGCGGAGTCCTCCAGCAGAGCAGAGTATTTCAGGAGAGGAGAGTTATAGAGAAGGAAGGAGCGGAGTCCTCCAGCAGCGCAGAGTATTTCAGGAGAGGAGAGTTATAGAGGAAGGAGCGGAGTCCTCCAGCAGCGCAGAGTATTTCAGGAGAGGAGAGTTATAGAGGAAGGAGCGGAGTCCTCCAGCAGCGCAGAGTATTTCAGGAGAGGAGAGTTATAGAGGAAGGAGCGGAGTCCTCCCAGCAGAGCAGAGTATTTCAGGAGAGGAGAGTTATAGAGGAAGGAGCGGAGTCCTCCAGCAGTGCAGAGAGTCAGGAGAGGAGAGTTATAGAGGAAGGAGAGAGTCCTCCAGCAGAGTATTTCAGGAGAGGAGAGTTATAGAGGAAGGAGCGGAGTCCTCCAGCAGTGCAGAGTATTTCAGGAGAGGAGTTATAGAGGAAGGAGCGGAGTCCTCCAGCAGAGCAGAGAGTATTTCAGAGGAGAGGAGTTATAGAGGAAGGAGCGGAGTCCTCCAGCAGTGCAGAGTATTTCAGGAGAGGAGAGTTATATAGAGGAAGGAGCGGAGTCCTCCAGCAGTGCAGAGTATTTCAGGAGAGGAGAGTTATAGAGGAAGGGGCGGAGTCCTCCAGCAGTGCAGAGTATTTCAGGAGAGGAGTTATAGAGGGAGAGGAGCGGAGTCCTCCAGCAGTGCAGAGTATTTCAGGAGAGGAGAGTTATAGAGGAAGGAGCGGAGTCCTCCAGCAGTGCAGAGTATTTCAGGAGAGGAGAGTTATAGAGGAGGAGCGGAGTCCTCCAGCAGAGCAGAGTATTTCAGGAGAGGAGAGTTATAGAGGAAGGAGCGGAGTCCTCCAGCAGTGCAGAGTATTTCAGGAGAGGAGAGTTATAGAGGAAGGAGCGGAGTCCTCCAGCATGCAGAGTATTTCAGGAGAGGAGAGTTATAGAGGAAGGAGCGGAGTCCTCCAGCAGCGCAGAGTATTTCAGGAGAGGAGAGTTATAGAGGAAGGAGCGGAGTCCTCCAGCAGAGCAGAGTATTTCAGGAGAGGAGGAGTTATAGAGGAAGGAGCGGAGTCCTCCAGCAGTGCAGAGTATTTCAGGAGAGGAGAGTTATAGAGGAAGGAGCGGAGTCCTCCAGCAGTGCAGAGTATTTCAGGATAGGAGAGTTATAGAGGAAGGAGCGGAGTCCTCCAGCAGTGCAGAGTATTTCAGGAGAGGAGTTATAGAGGAAGGAGAGGAGTCCTCCAGCAGAGTATTTCAGGAGAGGAGAGTTATAGAGGAAGGAGCGGAGTCCTCCAGCAGAGTGCAGAGTATTTCAGGAGAGGAGAGTTATAGAGGAAGGAGCGGAGTCCTCCAGCAGTGCAGAGTATTTCAGGAGAGGAGAGTTATAGAGGAAGGAGCGGAGACCTCCAGCAGTGCAGAGTATTTCAGGAGAGGGAGATTTATAGAGGAAGGAGCGGAGTCCTCCAGCAGTGCAGAGTATTTCAGGAGAGGAGAGTTATAGAGGAAGGAGCGGAGTCCTCCAGCAGTGCAGAGTATTTCAGGAGAGGAGTTATAGAGGAAGGAGCGGAGTCCTCCAGCAGAGTATTTCAAGAGAGGAGAGTTATAGAGGAAGGAGCGGAGTCCTCTCAGAGCAGTGCAGAGTATTTCAGGAGAGGAGAGTTATAGAGGAAGGAGCGGAGTCCTCCAGCAGAGCAGAGTATTTCAGGAGAGGAGTTATAGAGGAAGGAGCGGAGTCCTCCCAGCAGCAGCAGAGTATTTCAGGAGAGGAGTTATAGAGGAAGGAGTCGGAGTCCTCCGGCAGTGCAGAGTATTTCAGGAGAGGAGAGTTATAGAGGAAGGAGCGGAGTCCTCCGGCAGTGCAGAGTATTTCAGGAGAGGAGAGTATTGGTGTGAGTCAGGTTTAGGATGTTTCTAATACCTAGTGGAACTGTTATGCTTATGAAGAGCCAGAAAATGCAGCCTAAACACCTGAGACAATACTTCACACAAATTACACTCCCTCGGCATCAGAGATTCTGCTCTCTCCTGGTTCTCCTCCTATCTATCCCAACGCTCCTTCAGTGTTACCTATAATGCTACCACCCCCCCCTCCCACCCCCTCTCTTGTTGGGGTCCCTCAAGGCTCTGTCCTCGGTCCCCTTCTCTTCTCCATCTACACCTCTTCCCTCGGCAAGCTGATACTCTCCCACGGCTTCAACTATCACCTCTACGTACGCCGAAGACACGCAAATTTACCTCTCCACCCCTCACCTCACCCCTTCATTCTCGCCCGTATCGCCCACCTACTGAACGACATATCGGACTGGATGTCGCTCCACTTCCTCAAACTGAACCTTTCCAAAACCGAGCTCCTAATTCTCCCCCCCAGCCCGCGCCCCCCCCCCCCCATTCTCTCCATCACGATTAACAACGCTACCATCAGTCCCACCACACAAGCCAAGGTCCTAGATGTCATCCTAGACTCTAACCTGTCCTTCCAACCCCATGCCCAATCGCTGACTACCGCATGCAGGTTCCACCTCTGCAACATCTCCAAAATACGTCCGTTCCTAACCCCAGACACTTCTAATCTACTCGTTCACTCCCTTATTATCTCACGCCTGGACTACTGCAACTCCCTCCTCACCGGCCTACCCAAAACAAGCTATCCCCGCTCCAGTCTATCCTGAACTCAGCGGCCAGACTCATCCACCTTACCAACCGATCCACTTCTGCCACCCCCCTCTGTCATTCCCTCCACTGGATCCCGATTGCCCAACGCATCAAATTCAAACTACTAACACTGACATACAAAGCCATTCACAACGCCGCCCCAAACTACCTCACCGACCTGATACCCAAATACCACCCTACCTGTAATCTTCGCTCCTCACAAGACCTACTCTTTATCTTCCTGGTCTTCACCTCCCACGCCCGACTGCAGGACTTCTCCAGAGCTTCCCCCCATCCTCTGGATCTCACTTCCCCAATCCATCAGATTGTCTCCTACCCTCCTCACCCTTAGGCGCACCCTGAAAACCCATCTTTTCAGGGAAGCCTACCCCACCCTCACCTAACAGCCGATCCCCTCCACTCCTCACTTCATTCCATCCCCCACAGCCATCTCCTCCTGTATCACCATCCCCTCCCTCCTAGACTGTAAGCTCGAAAGGGCAGGGCCCTCTAACCCTCGTGTATTGTGTATTGTTTTGCTACTGTACTGTCTCATGTTCTGTCCCCCATTCTAATGTACAGCGCTGAGCAAACCCTTTGGCGCTATATAAATACTGTATAAAAATAATAATAATAATTCCCTATTAAGTAATATGTATCCTTGAAATGCTGGTAAAATCCCTGTCCCTGGACATGTGACCATAGAAAAGCCACAAGCATGTAGTTTCTGCTGACTTCTAGGGACCTGGAGGACAGATGTCAGTGGATGTCAGTCCCTCAGGGTCTTCTGGCAGAGTCGCATCATCAGTACCTTGGCAAGAAATGCTGAAAAAAAATACCAACTCCAGTTAAAATTGTATTTACTTATTTATTTGCAGTAGTAAAGAATTTGAAACCCTTTCAGGTTTTTAGATCTGTCAGTTTCTTTCGGAAAATGTATGTGGGATAAATCCCCCCCCCCCCCCCCCCCCCCCAGCAGATTATCCAACAGCAATCAATTTCTTTTTCTTCCCCACTAAGAAAAAAGGATACTTTAAATTTTTTGTCTAGAGTCGGGCTTGTATATTACAGAAC